GCCTTGGAGGGTCCTGGTGCGGCGTGGGCAGCTGGCATCGCCCCTTGGATGCCGCTCACGCTGGCTGCCTCGCTACAGTGTTTCTGCTTTCATTCTTCCCGGGACTGTCCCACACTTTCCTCGCTCTGAGAAAGGGGACAGAGGCAGAGACTTCCAGGAATTGTGGGCTCCGTGCATCGGGACACGATCCCAGCTCCAGCCCCCACTGATGCCCATCCCCTGGTACCTGTGCCCATGGTAGGGATCTTGTCCTGGGGGAAAAACCCATCTCTGCAGAGGGAATCCTGACTCCTGTCCCCCGGGCTACAAAACACACGCTCCTGTTCCTAATGAGTATTTTGACACGCTCAAAAGCAGCACCAAAGCACTTCCCATCGTTAACTGGCTCTCAGTCTGGGATGAAGTTCTCCTAGGAGGAAAAGCAATGGTTATGCCAGACTGGCTGCAGGGAGTGGTGCTCATCTGTTCAGTGGATAAACACCTGTGCAATAGGGAGTCTGTAAACAGCAGGCAGAATGTAAAAGCCGCATAAGCAGGAGAAAAGCTGCCATGAGCAGATCAGCAGCAGCCCTGAAGCCTCGGGAAAACACACAAAATACCTGTGTGACTCCAACCCAACACTCTGAAAGCTTTCTGTGGATTGCTTCTTTGGCAAAATTTTCTGATTTGCAGCTGCTGCTTCCAATACCAAGTGCCACACAAAGCCTGTCTTCCACTGCAACCAGCACTAGAGAGGAACCAGGCTGGAATACTCACTGCCGACACCAAGCACAAGACTGTGGAAGCAGCTTCCAGAGGGTGTAAGAGCTCAAAAGCACAAGACATTTGGAAAATAGGATGGGAAAGCCTAGAGAAGGATGGGGCAAGGTCTGCCTTTGAGCAGGGAAGAGGCAAAGAGATGCTGTGTACCCTCAGAGCAGCTGGGTAGGTCCCACAGGGACACCCTACATGTCTGCCCTCCACAGCCCAGCCCCTGACAGGTGATCCATCTCTTGTTCCCAGTGGTAAGGGAGAGCTGGAGCACAGGAGAGCAGGGAAAAGAGGAAGGGACAGACAGAGAAGGGAGGGGAAAGCGAGGAGACCATTTTATGAGATTTGATATATGCCCAGGAGTGAGGAAAAGGAACCACCAGTGCCGTGCTCCAGCGCAGCACCCGCTTGGCTGCTCCCCCAGTCCTGAGGGGTTCTCCTTGCTGAGCACAGCTCCAACATCCCTGCAGCTCCAGCTACCCAGCACCAGTGGATCACTCATTTCACAACCTCAGCTCCAGCCGTGACAGACATGCACCCTGCCACAGCCTGCTATCACGCCAGCTCACATCCAACCAAGCCCTGAGCTCTGTTCCAGCTCCAGCTGGATTATCATAGCCTTCCTGTGTCTGAGCAAGGAAAGGGCGAGAGGTGCTGAGGAAGAAATGTGTTTATTTTTTCTCCATTTATCAGGAACTGACAACAAGCTTTAGCACACCCCCAACTCCCCTGGCCACCAGAGGCTCCCTATCCATGTGTCCGTAGGGGCCGAAGGGACCAGCTGCCCACATGATGTTCTGCCATGCTCCTCTTGTCTTCAAAGAAATATTTACATCCTATGGCCAACTGCCAGAGCAGAAAGGTCACACTGACAACAGCAGACAGGAGGGTCAGCCCCTTCCCAAGGGCTTTGGAGTTCTGCCAGTGCAGCGCTGGGGGTCCCCAGAGCCCTCCTGGGACTGGGATGCCAGAGCAGCTGCTGCTGGGCACAGACTGGGAGTGAGAGCAACCCTGAGAACGACCTCCTGCCTCATTCCATCTCTCACTGTAACAGCTGCCCTTCACTCCTTCATCACTTGCCATTCTTATCTCCTCCCTCCATAGGAAGGAATTACTGCAGGTTTTATCTGTAAGCCTATCACAATTACAGAGCAGAAACGATTACAGAGCCATCGAGCCAGGTGATGAATGAACACGTGGCACTGAACCAAACTGACCACAGCCAGATCAGGGAAGGGAACCAAAGGCAGATGTAACCAGAAAACACCAGGATTCCAACCTGTATCAGCACCAGGTAACAGCAGTAATAGCAAATGCCACTTAAAAACATCTGAAGCTACATGGACAGCAGATTTTCCTGAGCCAAAAGCCCCTTAAATCCTTTTCTCCCCTTTGATTCCATTGCTTCACTAACAGCTCCTTCTCTGATTCCATTTCATTCTAAACCAGAGGCCACCCCCTCCAATCCACCACTGTAATTTGTCTTCTGATGGCAGAACCTTGGATTTATTCTGACAATGCTCCATCTTGCTCCTGAAACAGGTTTTGTCACCTCATATACTGCTGGTAGTAATGATGTAACAACCAGAGCAAAAAGATAAACAGCTCCGAGTCCACAGAGTAACAAAACATCTGATTAATTTGCTAATTACATGTAAGCCTGACTGGTGCAGTCAGGGACACTCTACCAAAAGCTTTACATTAAACCAAATTGTGTTAATAACCACAGTGTTTGTGAGATGTTCCAGTACCTCTTAACCCTGACACTCTCTCAAATATTAAAAACTGCTCATGCTTTAGTGTCATATGAAGGGTGTTTAACACAAAAAATACCTACCCATACCTGGTCTCAACTGCAGCAGGGTAGAACTGGGGTTTGGGACAACTTCATCTCTGAGCTAAGAGCCATGATCCTGCTGGCAGACAGCAGGACCATCCAGAGAGGAAAGAAAGTAGGAGCAGCACACCTTGAAATGCTCCTTATTCTCTAAAGCAAGGGGGCCTGTGTGTGCCTCTGCTCCCAGCAGCACCCCGAGGGCACTCTGAGGTGCCCACTGCCCCTGTACAGCCCCAGAAGTGCCCCTCACTGTCCTCACAGAACACTGGGGCTGCATCCTCTGAGGCTACGGGGGGAAAGCTTTATGTGCAAGGTCAAGTAGGGCAGGAGATCAGACCTAGCACCAGACAGCACAGGGATGCAGGTCCAAAAGGCAGTCACCCTTCCATCAGGGAATTTTACTACAGAGCCTCTCAGCTCCCACAAACCTTTCTCTCCACAGGCCCTGCTGCCTGGGATGCTGGTACACGATCCACCGCTCCAGGAGCAGCAGAGGCTGTTCCTGCGCTGGCACCCACAGATCCAGGAGAAAATGCAAAGCTGCAGGAACGTGCCAGCAGCATGCTGTAAAGCTAATGGAGACTTTGCTAGGATAAAATGTAAACCTGGCAGCGATTAACACATGTGGCTTGAGCCAGACCACGATGAGTGTTCCGCTTTCCTTACGGTGTTTGGAAATGACATCTGAGCACAGGGAGACGATGTCCCTCCGTTACACCTTTGCAGCAGCAGGGTAGTGCTGTACAAGCCTTGGAGTTCAAAGCACAAGACACTGGTGTTGTAAAGGTTGCTGTGCCAGCTCCAACCCTGGTGATCCCACAGAAGTCTGCTAGGGGAAGCAGGCACAGAGCACACCCAACAGAGCTGCAAGGAAGGGGAGCATACAGCACTTCCCACAGGAATGAGGGAGATGTCGCTTATCTCCAAGGCAAACCCGGGCAAAATGTACCTGCTGCTGCCTGGTCCAGGCTCCAGGACTGCCTGCAGACCTCCATGGCAGCCCACACCTGCTCTCCTCTCCTGACATTCCCTGTCTGTGCGGGATCCCACTGCAGAGCTCCGCAGGCAGAACGGCACGGAACAAACCTGCACCGCCACCGCCAGCACCCGAATGCTGAACTTCCCAACTTGATTCCTCCCTGCCCCCTCTGCACTGATTCCAGCAGAGATTTATCCAGACTCCAGAGACACACCCAGAGCTTGCATAGCTCCTGCCACGTACGAAGCTCACAGCTGGATGATGCTCACAGCTGCACTCTTTCTGACCTGTCATTACTTTTATGCTTTTTTCTTTTGCCAAGCCCTTGACATCGCTGTACAATCCCCCAGTAAATCACTGTGTGAATGGAAGTTGTCTCAGTACTCAAATGAAGCTCTGGGCATTTAAAACAGAAACAAGCCCAGAGGCAGTGCACTCGCCCAGTGCTAATTTAGAGGTAAAATCTAATTGTTCATTTCAGCCTTTGCTCCCAGCATCCCAAGCATCACAGGGTGAGTGTGTGGATGCAGGACTCCCACGATGCAAACCCCAGCTGAGGCCTCACACACTCCTGGATGGGGCTGCCTCTGAGCCAGCAGAAAATCCCTTGGGCAGCCCTTTCTCCCCCCACCATTTCCATCAGCTTGGCCACATTCTGTTGTGCTGACAGGTGAGAATGCAGGTGCCCACTGCTTTAAATGGTGTACAGGTATTTTACAGAAATGGCCCATGTCCATTTTCTGAAGTTAATCCACCAGGAAAAATTATTCTTGATTGAATCCCATTTCTCAAAAAAATCTCCTGTCCCCTGTTTCATTCCCAAAACCTGCTGTAGCTCTACTTTTAAACACATTTTCTACCTCTACTTAAAACAGCCCCGAAGCACAGGTGATGTTTCTCTGCCACCACATTCGGGGTTTCCTGCTCTGCACAGTGTATTCCCGGCAGGCAGCTCTCGGCGGGACAAGTTGCTGGGAGGATTTTAACTCGATGTCAACATCCGTCCGTGCTTCAGGGCTCAGCGTCCCGATCTCGCCCGCTCCCAGCGGCCGGGAGCAGCGGGATAACAGATGCGTGAGGAAACGAGATAAACACAACGACCTCACAGGACGGCGGGGACACCAGGCGTGCACCGCGCTGTTCCTGGCACCATCCCGCCCAGTCAGTCCCAAATGAGAGCATCGCGGCAAAAGGGAAGATTCGGCAGCGGAGACGTGCACCAAAGCGGGAACAGCCAGGACAGAGCGGGGATGGAGCCGCGGTGAGCGCGGGGCACCTGCGGCAGGCGGCGGGGAGGCGGGTGGCGGCGCGGGGTGCCGAAGGTGGCATGAGGGATGCGGGCACGGGATGCCGGTACTGGCGGGATGCAGGATGCCGGCGGGAAGCACAGCGCAGGGTGCGCTTGCCGGTGGGCTGCGGGACGCGGGTACTCACCGGAGGTCGCCGTAAGCGCCGGCGTAGCCCTCGACCCAGGGCTCCAGCTCGCTCTTGATGCCGGCAGCGGGGGCGGCGAAAGGCGCCCGGCCCGGTGGGTACCAGGCATCGGCAGGGCAGTCGGCGGGCCCGGCGGGCGGCTCGGGGCACGGCCCGTAGAGCTGCCCCTCTTCGGCGAAGAAGGTGGGCCAGGGGGGCGCGGGGCCCGGCGGGACCAGCTCGGCCCCGAAGCTATACTTTCCCATTGCGGCCTCGAAGGCGGGCGAGGGGTCGCGGGCAGGCGGGCGCGGGGCGCGGGGCGGCCCGGCGGGCACGGCGAACATGCAGTCCTCGCGGGGCAGCTGCTCGGCCGGAGTCTCCAGCGCCTCCAGCGCCAGCCCCATGGAGGCGGACACGGCGCGGCACAGCTGCCGGGCGCTGTCGCCCAGCGGATCTTCCTTGTCCACCGGCTCGGTCTCGGGCGGCGGCAGCATCGGAATCGCACCCGCCTCGCCCAGCAGCTCCCTCAGCTCTCCGGCGCAGGGGAAGGACGAGCCCATGGCGGGGCCGGGGGCCGGCAGCGCTTTACCGGGGGCGCGGGGCTCGGGGGGCGGCAGGCAGGCTGGGGAGTCCGGCGGCGCTCGGGGACTCGGCGGGCAGGGCGCGCTCGGCGGCGGCTGCCCGGCGCCCGGTTCCTCTCGCGGCGGCTGGAAAGCGTCGCAGACGCTCTGGAAAAAGCTCTGAAAAGCGCCGCGGAAGGTCCTGCCCGCCGGTCGCGGGTAGACGCGACCGACCCCCAGCTGCACCTCCATGCTCGCCGAGCGCGGGGCAGCGATCGCTGCGGCGGCGGCGGAGCGAGGCGAGGGCGGAGAGCCTTGGCAGCGCTCCCGGCCCGACCCCCGCGGGCCGCCTACCCGTGGCGCTGCTCCGCGGCGCCCATGGCAGTGACCGCCGGGCTCGAAGCTCGGTGCGCGCAACAGGCAGGGAAAGTTGTCGGCGGGGGCGCGGGCAGGTGCGGCGGCGGAGCGAGGGGCGGGCGGGGGCGGCCGCGGGGAGGGAGGCGCGGCGGGGAGACCGCCCCGCGCCGGGGCTCCGCCGCGATTAACTCTGTGCCGGCCGCGGCGGCAGCGGAGAGCCCCGGGCTCGGCTCGGCGCCAGCGGCGACCCTGGGGCAGCGCGGACGCGGAGCCGCAGCCCCGCCGCAGTGTCCGGGCTTGGCGCCTCAGCGGGCGGGTCGGAGCTGGATGAGCCTGCCCGGCCCGCTGGACATCGCCCGTCACCGCGGCCCCGGGTGAGCGCCCGACCGGCCCCCGCGGCCCGGCTGGGCGGGACGGGGCGGGGATGGGGGCGCGGCGGGGCTGCCCGGCTTCCCAGCTGGTCTGCTGATGGAGCGGGTGCGTGCGGGCCACCCGCCCCGGGCCGGCTCGGCTGCTCCCCCGCTCTCCCCCCGGCTGACAGCTGGCGTAGCTGGGCGGACTTGGTCAGAAAAATGCTCCTTTTCGCGCTGGCGTGTCGGCGCTCAGCAGCTCCCCACCCTCGGCCGGGCCCGAGGCGACCCCCGCAGCTCCTGGTTCCTGAGGACCGGCCGCTTCCACCTCTCACTGCCCCGCGTCGTGCCACAGCCCCCGCCTGCCAAAGCACGAAGCATCCCGTGGGCATCCCCGCCCGGGTCACGCACTGGGATGAAAAACACCTCGCTAGCAGAGAGAATTAGTGCGGGACCTACCGTAAACAAGACTTGAGCTCCCCTTGCTGGTCCTGGAATAGCAATCCTAAAGCAACTTCTGGGAGACACCAACCCCAGGCAACCTGGGAACGGAATCATTTTCATTCGAGGGAGCTTAAAACAAGCCCGTTACTTTGAGCCCCTTTGAAGACAAAGGAAAAAAAAGTCATAAATAAGCGGAGCCCGTGGGGAAAACAGAGAGACATATCCCATCTTTTAAAAGCCTTTTTACAAGCTGTGGAAGATAAAAATAAAAATCGAAGTCCAGCCAAGGAAAATTTGGCAGTGGTCTCCATCCTGCCTGCGGGATCGGAGCAGCTGGGGGAGGGGGAGGAGGGCCGGTGCACCGGGGGACGGGGTCACTGCCTTGGCTGCTGCAGCCTGGCACGGCTGGGGCCAGGGGCTGCCACCCCCGGGCCGTGGTGAGCCCAGGACTGTGCCCAGTTCTCCCTGGCCCCCGGTGAGAAAGAAGAAACCAGTGAGGTTTCTTTGCAGAGAAGCCTCATCAGCTCTCGCATGTGGTGGAACACCAAGCTGGGCTCTGATGCCAAGTCCCACAGCCCCTAAAGCACTGAAGGCAGCTCAGCTAACGCCTGAGATGGTCAAAACCAAGGGAGGTGCAGTAAGATATCTGCTGCCCAGTGGATGTGGGTTCCAGTGTGTTTGTTGTTCCAGCCTCTCAGAGCTGACAGGCTCCTGGAGTGAAATATTCAGACTGTGGAAAACATCTAGGGGAGGATTCTCACTGTCAGCCTCTAGAACTGTATTGAGAAGGGCAGAGGGCTGGGGCTGCAGCGTGGTATCACTGCAGGAACAAGGGCCTCTATGCCTCAAATGAGACATGGGTTGTGACCAGAGAGTTTTGCTTGACCCCACTGTTCCCACACAGAGGAAACATCCTCAGCTTGTACACCCACAGCCTGCAAAGAACTCAGCACACTTCAGACTTTTGGTGTTCAAACAACCATCCTGTCTGGGATGGGACCTGTTGGGGCCTGAGCTCCCGGCTCTGGAGCTTTGGCTTTGGGGCTGTTCGTGTTGCTTTGCCCTTTCCCCTCCCTGCAGCATCCACAGGGCCCTGGATTTTGCCCTGTCTGAATGTTGCTTGTGGGGTTTTTGGAATGTTGACCACTGCAGAGGTGAAGAAAGTGAGACTGCAAAATGGTTTATGTACTTCAGCCTGCAGAGCCAACACTTCAGTTCTGACTGATGATCTGTGGTAAAGATGTTTTTAATTTATTTCTTGAACAGGCATCTTCCAAGGGTTTGTTTTTTTTTTTAACTTGGTCCTCACGTTTCATTTAAAACTGATGAAGTGTTAGTGGATTTTCTGGCTGTATGTGTGCACGACTGCATATGCTAGGCTTAAAGGCTCTGTGAATTTTAGTCTTTATACTGGTTTGCTGAAGTCATCACACAGTGTTCTAGAGATGTCCTTTTCTCAGCTTGAATTTGATACAGATTTCAATTATACTTTCCCATTCTCCCAGCAACACATATTCAGGTAATTTATATCTGTAAATGGTTATTTACAGATGCAAATGGTTATTAAAATGTGAATTTAACATCTCATGCAGGTATTTATAGGACTTCCTGCACAGGCTGAGGTCTGAGCCTTGTATGTCACTAACAGTTTGGTCTTTCAGTTCAAAGTCTATTTAAATGCACGAGGAGTTAAAAGAGTTGAAGGTGATGGACTCGAGTGTGTGTCATAGAACAGGAACTTTGCCTGGCCTCATGGAAAGCAGAGTGAGCTCCAGTTTGGGCAGGGGGAGATGCTGAGGAAACCTAATCCAGCAAAACACTTCCATGCATCTTCTTCTTGAAGAGTATAAATAGTCCCACTGAAATCTAGGAAATACTCCTGTGCTTAAGGTTAAGGATTCCCTTAAGTGCTTTGCTGGATCAGTACCAAGGTGATTATTTACAAAGCACTGTCAAAAGCATTGGACACCATGAAAAACTTTTTCTGATAAAATCCTTTGGCTCAGAATGTCCTGTGTGACTGCTCAGAACTGCAGCAAACAACATTTTTCAGAGATAGAGGCCATTCCATGAAAAAATTTCCCTCTAGACCCAAGAGTAACAGGTGGTCCTTTGTTTTGTTGCCTGAAAAAACATTTAAAACCAGATGATCTCTAAGAACTCAAATCTACAGCCACAGAGAGCTCAAATGTTATCAGGACAGTTCCACAGAACTTGCCAGGAACAGGATCAATCATTTTTCACCATTAATCTCTAGGAAAATGAGGCCAGTAACACAGAGTCTGACAGTTTTGCTTCCATTCCTTGAAGCCAGTTGCAGGCATAACCCATTAGCCATCACTTACTGAATTACTCTGATCACACTCCTCCTTTTGTACCATCCCAGCCGTGAGGAGGTGTCAGCAGCTGTGAACCTGTGTCTGAACCTGTCTCTGAACCTGCCCTGCCAACATCCCCTAAATGGTGAACTCGTGGAGTCTTTTCCAGCTGCATGAGAAAAAGAGGAATCGTTTCTGTGGAGCATTGAAAATGATGGCAGAGATTCAGAAAGAGTCACAAGCAGAAGTGCTGTATCCCACTCCCCAGCAGGGCAGAGGCAGCTGGATGAGCCAGAGGCACTTTGAGCCTCAGTGGTGCCTGTGCAGGTTGGGACAAGCCTCTGCTCTCACCTCATTGCCACTTGGCAAGGAAGGCACGGTGATTTAGGGGAAAGCAGCGTGCAGCAGGTGAGGGAGACTGGCTTGTGCTCCCCTGGATGCTGTGGCCAGGGTGGGAGCCCATTAGGCTGGGGGAGCAGCCAGCCCAGCCTTTCCACCACCCACACCTATGGACAGCAACCAGGCATGAGCCTGTAGAATACCAGGCTCATTAATGCTGCCTCCCACAGCTTTTCCTCATTATTCCATGCACTCTATTATTGTTAAGCTGCCTAGAGCTACACAATAATACAGTTTTCTTAAGGTTTTAAATATTTTAGCCATTTGTGTCAATCCTGGACTGCTGACTGCCTTGTCTCGTCACACAGGTATGTGAGTTCTCATGGGTGGGTTAAGAGTCTTTAAAATCTGCCCTTGCAGGAGGGTGCAGACAATGTTTTCACTTTCATCTATTTTAATTCTGAACATTAATAATGTCTCACATCTCTCGTAGCTTGCACCTTTCTGATTTAGGGCACAGGTTGTTTATCTCTTCCTTGCACCTCTCCTCAGTGGCCAACACTGATGCTGCTTTTACCCAAGAAAGCCCAAAGCTCAGGTGCCCCTGGAGCTGGAATCATCTGTCCCTCACTGCTGCCCTCAGCGAGTTTTGATCAAGCATTTGGGACAGATCAGTGAGAGGATCCTGCCGTGCTGTGCTCATGTCACCCTGCAAGCCTTCTCTCAGCAAGGGGGGGTTCACTGAGCATTCTCACCTCTCAAAACCCAGGAGAAGAAGAGTTTGACAAAGACCTGGCTCGCAGCAGGGCTCCCCTGGCTGGACCCTGCCCAGGGGTTCCATCAGCCCAGCAGCATCAGAGGGAGGCAGACCTGCACAGTGCCTCTCAAATGCCTTTGTCTGCACCTTGGAACAAATCCTGCTTTAAATTCAGGGCTAAGCGATGCCTTAGGTAATACTTCTGGAACGGTTACAATCACCTGAAGTGTTATTCTTCTCTTTGCCCAAATTCATCCCTGTCACCTCCACAGAATCACTAGGATGTTTTCCTTCTCTGACAGCTTGGAGGCCGATTTTCAGAACAGCCTGTTCATGCACCTTAGTGAGATGACTGAAGTGCTTGGTCCAGTTGATCAATCCTTGCGGTGCTGAGAGCAACACAAATCTTCACTCCTAATGAAACACACATTTGAACCGTTTCCCATGTCTTACACAACTGCCTTTTGGGCAGAGTTTGGAGTTTCTCAGGAGCCAGGGAGGTGATACACAAGTTTGTGATGAGTTCCAGTATGAAATCTGGTCCAAGGCAACAACACTGGCAGATCCATTTTCCCAACCTGCAGCTGGGAGCAGACTGGGATAAGCCCACTTCCATTGCTCAGCAGGGATGCCCACCTAGAGTGAGATGCCAGAGGCTGGTGAAGGTTCAGTGGCTTCACTGAAGCCCATGGGCACTTTGGGCTGCCTTCAGCAGGTCAGGATGCATCCAAGCCTCAGTGTGGAGCTGTGTTTGGTTATTGCTGTGTGTTTGAATACCCTGAGGATTTCAAGAGGTGTCAGAATGTTTTCCTTTATCTACAGTTCCTAATGCTGCTGTGCTCAGCAGGCACAGCTCTTCCCCAGCACACCTCAGAGGTCACTGTACACTCCAATCTCCAACAGTGCTGTTTAAAGACCCTATAACACATCTAAAGATATCAGAGAGGAAAGGTGTGTGCCAGGGCTCAGCTGAGAGTGACTGAGAGGATGAGGTTGTGTTGATCAAATGTAAGAGCTGCTGTGGGAAGAAAATTGCCCATTGGAAACTTCAATAAAACAACACACCTCTTTCATGTTGCTACAGCACAGCTCACAGCTCACAAAAACTCTGATGTAATGTCCTAGAGGTGGAAGACCACATGATTTACTTCATAGGCATATTTTTAGTGATACTTGGATTCTGAGGTGTCCATTCTTTCATCAGGAAAACTTCCCATGCCCTTTTTAAGTCATTCCTCTTGTACCCTGACTTCTGTCTACATTCTCCCCATCTGCTGACTCTGAGCTCCTTGCCTCCCTGCACTGAGCATGGAGCTCTTCCTGCATGGGCTGGTGTGACAAGCACTTTTTGTTGCCTTTAGAGCCAGGCAAGCTTCTGAAGGGGAGAGTTTCCATCTCCCCCGTTCTCCTCTCTATGTGGTTCCTTTCCTGCACAACACACTGGGGCACTCACTTGGAGGCAGGCTCTGAGGTGCTGCCACTGCATTGCACACTGCAGGCTGCACAGCACCCCAGGATAACAGGCAAGGTGGATCAGGGGTGTCCTTGGGCTCGCCCCTGGAGAGGTAAATCCAGGCCTGGCTGGTGTTCACTGCTTCTTGCACTTCCTGGAGCACTCCCCTGCCCCTCTGGTATAAGGAGGAAGTGTGCTTGGTAGTAAATTAAAGGAAAAACTAGAATAGTGCATCCCCAAGGGAGACAGTAGAGATGAAAAGTATTCATCACAGCATGCCTCTCTTAGATGACCTGGAAAAAAGTCATAAATATGGGTAGTGTAGGGTCTCCAAAGTGCCTCCAGTGAATCAAAACAAATAAACCTTTGAGCACAGGAGTCTGAAGTCACCAGGACAGCTACAACACAGA